TCAGCACAATTATAACATTTGGAATCCAGTACCACAGTTCAAATAAAATCTCAAAGAAAGGACTAATCTATTACAACAAATGAAAAGTTTTCTATTGAAAAACATTACAATTTCTATTAAATATTGAAATACAATGTTATGATAAAGTATTATGTGTTTTATTATACCAAGGAAATAAAGGATTTCAAATTTAAGGCTGTTATTCTAGACTGACTTTGTCCTTAGTTTACCCCAATGTTTCATGGTATGAACAATACATAATCTTTCAGAATCTGCAACACCTTGGCATAATAAGAGTGAGTAATGGGACAACTCCAGCCAGAAGTTTCAGCGTTAACTTTCATTTTCCATGTTTTTATGGATTTAAACCAGACTGGTTATCTTTAACATTATTTTAACATTGTTGTTTGTGGCTGAGTTTATTATATTGTCATATTCATACTGCTGCGCTGAACATATCATACATTAGGTTATAATCCAAGCTTTTCAAGGATTTATAGTGTTGCTATAAAATTTGCTCAAGGAATAAAGCTTTTAACCCAAGAGCAAATACTCTAATATATTTTACTACAAATTCTAAATGTAAGTGAATTGGACACTTCCTAGTTAGAGAAAAGCAAATGTGTATGTTCATTTTATTAAGATCCTTTAAACCTATATTTTCCTTTACTAAAATTCAGATTTTTATTTGTGTGCTGTCAATATATGAACCCTTGGGGAAAGAGGTTAGGGGGTGGGGGAAAGAAGAGGGAAGGGTGAAATATAAAAAAAACAAAAAACAACGTCTTAAACTGTTACCACAGATATCCAATTTTTAAATGTTAACATTGTAAAAGCTCCATACCACTGCTTGACATGATACATTGTTTCTGTTCCGGAGGTGGATAAGCTGTCATGTCAACATTTATTAATGTCTTCATACTACAAATTGACATTAGGTATCATGGGAAAACTCCACTTATTAATGTCTCCATACGATGGATAGACAGGATACCTCTTTATGACTCTAAAGGTACTTACAATTTCATGCCACAGTGTTTGAGGATGTGTCAAAATACACGAGCCTTTCAGAAAGAGAGCTGGGGTGGTTTTTTTGGGGGGGGGGGGGAGTGGGGGTTGTCCGCAGAGCCAAGTTGGAGTCTTCTATACTTGGCTCTGGTTAATAAACATTTATCTTTTCTCCTCTTTCCCTCTACCTCCAAAATGCCGGCTTGAGCTATAGCAGGCATGAGCTATAGCAACTTCAGACTGTCTTCCAGCAGCCTTTGCACAGCTTCAGCTGAAGCAGCCTGTAAGCTGCAAACTGCTACAACCGTTAGAATTCCCCAAAGCATTAAAGAATATGAAGTTCATGTTCATATAAAATGTATGTTGGAGGAATAGGGAAGGAACGAGACAAGTCTTATGGCACTGTACTGCAAATGCCATCACATGCACTGCTTACTACCATGGGAAGTCCAAGCCAATGGACAATGGTTAATGACAGTAATCACTATTCCTGTTTGTGTTTGCAGAATTGGGCCCTTTGCATGTATCCCTATTTTTTTCTGCAGTATCCTGTGCCATTGTGCTATCATGTAATTTGTTTCTTAATACATTCGTATTTATAAAGTGCTTTGAGATTTTGTATTGTATTCAAACTCTCATTCATCTATAAAAAGAACAATTGACAGGAGTTAGTTATGAATAAGAGTTATGTCAGTTCACATACTTAGAATTGATACACACTCAGGCCTGACATAGTCCTGTTTAACTGGTCCAAAAAGAGAAACATGCATATTTTAAGGTGGATACATAGCCAAAGTTATGAGTATTTCAATCCAGTAGACAATATGTACTTATTGTTTGTTTGTCTCTTGCAGTGGAGCATCCAGAAAGCAAGATAAGATGGGCAGATAATTGACCATCATAATTGCTTTATCTCTGAACTTGATGAGTTCTGAACTAGCTTTCTGCCACCGTATTCTTGAGTCTCCCTCACTCTTGTTGTTGTAGGCTGATGAAAAGAGTATGACTTTTGAAAGAAAGCCCATTTTATTTGTAGTTAGTCCAATAAAAGAGAGTGCCAATAACTTCTTGTCATTTCCCTGACCCCACTCCCTCCCTGGAGTTTGAAATGTGTTTTTCTAGGTGATAAAGACACAAAACTGCCTTGTACCATATTACAAGTATTTATTATTTGAGCTCTCTCTGATGATATCTCTGCTGTTCAAGGCACAAATAAACACAGTCCCTGCCCTAAGGAACTTAAAATCTAAAACCCGTACATCTTATAATACAGCTAACGCCTGGTTTCACTCCTTCAAAACTATGATAAAGCCAAACTACCAGCTGCTAAGCCATCTTGGGTGGTATTATGCTCCCATTTTTTAAAATAAATTTATAGCATATTATATCGTAATGCAATGCTTCTCAAACTATGGAGTGCATCCCCCGAGAGGACAGTATGTACAAGGGGATGCACAGACTTTTCAGCCCACACTGCAGTAGTTATACTGATGTAACTCTCCACGTGGACTCATAGATTCCTAGTGTTTAAGGCCAGAGGGGAACAGCAGATCATCTAATCTGACCGCCTGTATATTACAAGTCCTTAAATATCACCCAGTTAACCCTAAGTGGAGCCTAATAACTTGTGTTTGACTATTATCTCACTTCCAGAGTGAATTAATTAAAAAAAAAAAAAAGAGAGAGCATCCACATGGAGGGTTACACCAGTAAAAAACAAAACAAAACACTGCAATATAAATTCATACCTTCCCTTATGCTGGTGTAACTTCCTGATAACTTCTTGTGTAGACAAGCCTTAAGCTGTGCAGGCCTTTAATAGCACACAGCAGGGATGACACAGGGTATTGTGATTGGTTTTATTTTCTAGAAGTGGGACTCAGCTTTCAAGAGCTGGAAAAAGCCTATTTAAGAAATTGCAGTTTTAACAGTATAAATACACTGCATTACATAAGTGCCATTGAATAAATGTATACCCATGAACATTTCAAGTTTGAAAGCAGACATTTAAACACACTATAATTATAATCCTGCTTTGTTTGAAGTTCCCCTTCTAAACTTTTACTTTAAAACAAAATTTTGCTCCACTCTTTTCCCCCTCAAATTGCTTTCTCTTCTGATCTTGGGACACAGTTAAGAAAATGTCCTCTGCAGTGCAGTGCCTCTAGTCTGAGTACGAAAACCCTGGATATGCATGCACTTTTAAAGGATACATAATCAGCTGTGACAAATACTAATGTAATTATTGTGAGATTAAAATGACCCAATTCCCTTGATTTGAGTGCATTAAACTCTGTAAGGTTTTCTTCCATGTCAGATGTGATCATCTCCATTTTTAGATAATTTTCATCAGCCATCATACCTTCATGCCCATGTTCCATGTTACCATCTTTACTGAAAACTGAGGCAAAATATTTATTTGGTTTTGGGGCCACACCTAGATTATGTAATGTGGATGGGAAGGAGATTAAAGACACAGGACCAACATTATCCATCCTTATTGTCTTTTTATTTATATAACTAAGAAAACCTCTTATTTATTGTAACTTCCTTGGCAAGAGCTGATTCAGCTTGCCTTTTAGCAATTCTCACTTTATTCCTACATTTTCTAACCTCCAAGATGTACTTTTCTTGCTGATCAATCCCTTTTTCCATTCCCTCTAGGCACTCTGTTTACTCCTAATAATCTTTTTGAAGTAGTTATTCATCCAGCTGGGTCTGGACCCTTTCCCTACAAGTTTTCTTCCCCTGGCTTGGGATGTAAATGTCAGACAGCTTTTGTATAGTTGGTTTAAAGAAATTCCAAACCTCCTCCACGTTTAAGTCCTTGAGGTGTTCAATCCAGTTGACGCCTTTAACTAATTCCCTTAATTTCCTAAAGTCTGCCCTTTTGAAATCAAATAGCACAGTTGACAACCCAGTTTTGATTATTCTTCCATTTCATTTAAACTGAATCAATTTGTGATTATTTAATCCAAGATTATTTCCTACCACCAGCTCTTCTATGATGTCCTCACTGCTTACCAAAATCAAGTCTAAATTACATCTCCTCTTGTGGGTTCAGTGGTGATTTGATGAAGAAAACGGTCATCTATCCCATCCAAGAATAACTGGGCACTGCCAGTATGGTCGCATTTATTCACCAGTCTATATTCAGGAAGTTAGTCTTCCATTATGACATAATATCCGATAGTATTTATCTCTCTAATAATTTTAAAGAGATCTCTATCCATATCTGGGTCTGACCCTGGGAGTCAATTCCTAAACCTAACAAAACTTCTTTTATAATCCTTTCCCAAAATGATTTTGACTCTTTCTGTTTTGTCCATTCTGTCACATTTATTTCTTTACAGCTTACCACCTCATTAATGTATAATGCTACCCCACCACCTTTATTCCTATCTCTTCTAAACAGCATACACCCTTTAGTACCGGTATGCCAGTCATGAGTGCTTCTCCACCATGTTTCTGTAATATAATATCCAGTCTGACCTCCTGTGCTAGTAGTTCCAGTTCCCGTATTTTTTATTGCCTAGACTCCTTGCATTCATGTACACGCATTTCAGTTGTTTCCCTTGGACCTAAACCCAGTTTTGCAACCACATTAGGTATAGCCCTTTCACTAAGTGTAACAGCTGCCTGATTATTACTCTAATCAATATTTGTACTTATGTCACTGTGCTGTCTATACTTTTATCTTCTGGGGTTACATTATCTTTACCATATCTTCATTTAGCAGATTTTCCCCCTCCTGTGTATTAAAGCCAAGCATGGAGATCTCATGAGTCTCTCCCAACTTTTTCCCCTCACCAACTAGTTTAAAGACCAACTTATCAATGATCAACATGCCAAAGCTGTTTCACACCTATAGTGTCTGTCTACTTTGCAGTGGAATACATCTCTCATATCTGAGTTTGAAACGCTATTACTAAGGGCTAATTTACTGTTTCAAAATAGTAATTTTTGTCTCATCTTTGTTGGTTTTGTTCTAGATTTATGACTGATGCAGCTCGCCGTGAGCAGGAATCCTTGAAGAAAAAGATTCAGCCTAAACTCTCTTTGACTTTGTCAAGTTCAGTGTCCCGTGGGAATGTATCTACTCCACCCCGCCACAGCAGTGGAAGCCTTACTCCTCCAGTCACGCCCCCAATCACTCCCTCCTCCTCATTTCGTAGCAGTACACCAACAGGTAAGGAGCTACAGCTTCACTTAGTCCTTTGCCTTTGCTGAGAGAGAGTCGCAATAGACTGTAGGCGTATCCATTGCTGCAGTATTACCAATTCCCAATCAGAAGTCAGGCACACAAAAATCATGAGATGGGCTTAAAAATTGTGAGTCTTAAAAACAAAATAACCCCCCCCCCCCCCCCCCCGCACACACACACACAGCTTTTGGGTTCTTTTTATTTGCCTCCTGTTTCTGAACTTTGGGAGTGTGCTTTGGTCACATGTTCAAGCTTTTTTGTCCGCAAGTACGAAGGCTAGCTTTTTTTTTTTTTTTTTAAGGAAGCTGAGATTCTCATATGTGCAAAGGAAGTGTGGTTTATGGAAAACACCAAATGTGGTGAGACTCATGATACAACTGCAAGTGCTGGCAAACCCTGTAGGACTTGACTCTTGAGATCTAAAAGAAAGTGTAGTGTAATCTCATCTGTTGACTGTATTCATAGTGAACCTAATTCACGCAAGGTTATGCCAGCTTCTTCCAGAGTAACATAGAGCACCTTGTGGCAGAAAGCCCTTGCAGAAGGGGATGTGGCAACATAAAACACTTGCAATCCCCATCCAACCGCAGGGCTTGCAGCTAACCAGCAGAGCCTCTGAATGTGGACAGTCCTAACTGGAGAACAAACAGAATACTTAAAGATGGGCTTTATGGGATTATGTGGGCTAGTTCATAAGGGAGAAACAAACTGGAAGTCAAATCCAAGATGCCACTACTAAGAAGGAGCAGACTGACTGCTTGAGTCTAGGATTATACCCCAGTATGAAATATTTGTTCTGGATGGTTGAGGCATACAACTCAAAACTGACTATTGAGTACAGTCAATCTTACCTGCCTATGTAGATTCTTTATTTATAATGCACCCATCACCGAGGTATCTGGATGCTAACAAAATAAAAAGCAAAACTACGTTCTTGGGACAATTCCCCACTTCTGTCTCTTTATAGTACCAGGGGTTGTGTGGAGTTTTGTTTTTTTTTTCTTTGGGTAAAATGTATCATGAGATATGTGCATCCAGTGGGTCACAGATGCAAGGATTTCTTGCACCTGGAGCAGTAAGTCTGTCCCACTTACTTTTGAACTTGAAGGGGATAAAATTAAGCAGTAAAACAAAGAAAAAAAACAAGCATGATACTGGAGATGAATTTTTTCTTATAGATTTTTCTGCCTCCTTTTTGCTGAGCTTCACTTCAAAAGCAAAACCCAAATAGCCATCCCAGCAATAAAATTCATTGTAGTGAATTCTTTCCAGTCCCAGTTTTATTCTGCATTGATTTAAAGTTATAAACAGCTAGACATGCTTGGGCAGATCCTCACCATCAACGAGACTGGGGCTAGACTGATTTACACCAGCTAGGAATCTGGCCCACTGTTTCTGGATATGCTTCAGAATAAGTGTACTTCAGTATCTTATTCTGTGCACCTTGCCCTACAGTCTGAATACAGGAAGATATAATGGAAACTGTTGGAATCTGTCACCAATAGTGTAACACAAAAGGAATATATTTTATCCCATTTTACAAAGTATAGACCCAACACAGTCATTTTACTGAAAAAACATCATGAACACCCTCAGCTTGATATATTGCTATGTAATGTGTTTTCCATAAGTTATTTAATGTTTTGGTGTTAATGATTACATGGAAAAATGTGCATGACCTCTATGTCTGGAGAACTGTGAAATGAATGGACTAGTAAATGTCCCCATATATGCAAAATATGACATGTACAGTGTAGCTAAAATGTTCTTTGTTACATAAGAATATTCACATTTCAGAAAGGAGTTTATTAATAATTATTTTGTAAATAGTGTTTGGAAGAAATTGAATCATTTTCTTTGCTGCAGAGGTTGAGGAATCATTCTAACCTACTGCTTTTTTTAGCGATCCCCACTAAAAAGACAAAGTTATGATGTAGTCAGGATGTGTAATTTTGTGTGTCTGTCAAGAACACTGGTTAGCTATCTGCTGTTTCAACCATATTCCATAATATGTTAAAAATTAATAAGGAAGCTGGTTTCTGTCTACCAAAGTACTTTGCTGTTTTGATTGTATATATTTTTCAAACATTTAGATTATTTAGAATGTTGTTTTACCTGTATTAGAAGGATCAGCTTGTTTCGGCTAACGAGCTCGTTTCTGGGAGTCCTGTTTGCCGGGTTATAAATAATACCAGGTTCCACATTCTGAATTTTCTGTTCCAAGTTCCACATTCAGACAACATTCCAAGGTCAGAATTTGTAATAGCTTAGTAGCAAAATTCATATATAAAACAGATATTCTTTCTTAAAGAATTTGACGTTCTTAACTCTCAACTAAGTTACATTTCAGCAGCCTCCCCTCAGAATTTCCAATTCTATCATCTTTAAAACTTTTCTGGACCTGAAATAAATCTTTGAGATGTTTCGATTACTATGAAACTATTGCTCTAAGCCACAGGTTTTTGTTATAAAATTAAATATATTTTGGGGGAACTGGGGAAAATGCAAATGCAGCCCAACTTAAAAGTTCCTCAGGAGAGATAGTTAATGCCAGTCTTCAGGGAGGTTCAGTGGCCTCCTCCGGCTTCCTTCTGGATTAGGGAGATAATGGATGGCTGCTGATCCAATCTTCTCCCTTCAGTGCCTCCCTTTACCTCCATTTTCAGGGTCTTCTGACTGGGCAAGGAACCCACTAGGCCTTGCTCCTCCACTGGGGAGGGCAGCAGGAAGGAAAGAGTTCATTTTCCTATTGCAGCCAGCTCTGCAGGAAGACATGGCCAAGCAGAACCCATAATGCCTAGAAGGGTAGTTAGGCAACCTACCCGTGTTCCTTAGCAATTATGTTGTAGTGACCACTGCAAGTGTAATCTTTGATGCTTCCGTAGCTCCATTGCTATTGCTTAAGGTGTGGGTTTTAACATCCCATAGCATCACTGTGTAGCAGATTTGGGGAGAAATGAAGAACAATTTCCATTATTTATTGATTTAGATTTACAGAACAACCCGGTGCCCACGATGCACTTCGGGGCCCTCATATAATGTAACCTTTACAGTAAATACCGTAATACAAATTTGTTCCAGCAGCAAAAATAACATAACTAAAACCCCTTCTGTTTCACACACAAAAACGTAATTCCTCTTACTCATAACCTGCCCAGATGTGTGGAACTGAACATGAGTGTTGCAGCATGCCCAGTAGATTAAGTAATCTGGGGTCTGGCAGACCGTGGTGGGTAGCAAAGTCCAGGATCAAAGACCCACTCACATAGATATCTATCTTTAACGCAAGCTGTTAATATTTTTGTATAGTTTTTGATATATGTCTGTGTTGGTGAAGGATGAAGTTTCCACCCTTAATTTCTTTGCCTTCGGGTTAAATCAGATCATTGATGTCCCTTTGAAAATTATAGTAAGTCTTCATAATAATCTTTTTCAAATTTTCAGTGATAGTAATAGACTGATAACTCATTTTTAAAATGAAAGAACATGGTCCCCCTTCCCCCCCTTTTTTTTTAAAAAATAGCAAAAATAGTTAATTTCTTCTATGGAAAATAAGTCTCAGGTGATTCTTTAGTTGTTATTGTACTTGGTTTTTTTTTTAAATAAAATAAAACTACTTTGGGATTGTAGGGATGCCAAAAAACTATCTGAAGCCACTGCCTTCTATGTATTGGGTGGTTTGTTTGTGTGTTTGTTTTTGTCACCCTCTCCTCCTAAAGATTTCCACAATGAACTTAAAAGAAATTATTCCAGGCCTTAGCCTGGAATAATAAATTTCAACCTGGAGTGAATTTTTGACCTAGTTATAAAACCTGAAGCGGGGTTTAATGTTACCAACTGGCTTTTAAATGGCTCAGGTTGTTGTTTGCAGTGTTGTTTTAGCTGTGTTGGTCCCAAGATATTAGAGAGACAAGATGGGGGAGGTAATATCTTTTATTGGACCAATTTCTATTGGTTAAAGAGACAAGCTTTCGAGCCCTGAAGACGAATGCTGTGTAGCTTGCAAACTTGTCTCTTTCACCAATACCACTTGGTCCAATAAAAGATATTATCTCACCCAACATCTCTCTCTAAATGACTCACTTGTAATTCTCTTTTTATTTTTTTAGTTTGCGGGTTGGGGGGGTAGGGAGGGAAGGTCAGGAATGTTTGAAATATTTGAAAAATTTGAAAAATGAGCATTTCACTCAACTTCCTATGCAAAACTGACTCTGGTTTCTTTTCTCATTTTTAATGTGTAATCCATTAAAATTAAAACAATTTTATAATTTTAAGAGGTTTCTAATCATACTCGCTGCCTGATACAGTTCGGCAGCTGATGGTCCTGCTAGGTTAGCCAGTTCTGGCATTGCACTCTGACAGCAAGCATTGGTGATCTGTCTGGCACACCAACAGGTATTGGTCAGTCTCTCTACTTGCAAGGGAGATGTGAGGGTCAAGTTTAAATGGGTGGCCCATGCTGATCCTATATCAAAGACTGTATCTTATTTGGACCCACAGCTAGCTAACTGGTGCATTATTGGGCTATCTGCTGGCTTATTCAGTGAGTTAAAAAGCAAATGTTGGGTTGTCAAATTTGCAAATTCATTTTTTATTTTTAGATTTCTATGTATATTCACAAACAAATAATCCATACAATCCAAAATTTTGTGGTGTGTGCAGTACTTAATACGGAGTACTAAATATACCTGAATACATATACATGTCAAGTATGCCTATATTCAACTGTTGTAATTATTTTATGGTAGATTAGGCCTCAAAGAAGTTAAGCACATTTTAAAATCGTTACAAAAATGTAAAATAAGTGGATACTCTAATTAGTGATAATATAAGCAGTTTACCATGTCATATGTCCATTTAATAGTTAATTTAAACAGGAGAAAAATTACACCATGGATTTTTCTTTAAGATTTTAGGAATCCAAGATCTAGGCAGTGGGTAATATGATATGATAATATGCCAAATATGCCAAAGATTTTCGCAAT